CTCTGCCAGGAGGCGAGGCCCGCCCCGTCCCTGTCGCCAACTGCCGCCCTGCCCTGCACGGCGGCTTCTCTGAACTTTGTATTTTCTCTCCTGAGGTTGATCTCGGCCGCTCGTCGCCGAGGGCTTCCCCCAGCCACCCCTCGCCTCTCCGAAATCGGTATTCCCTCCTTCCCCTGCCCGGACGCGAGACACGCAGATCTGTTAAAATCTGAAATGAGAGCTAACATTTCATGAGCATTATTTTTCTTTTTTGACTGCTGTTACTGCCGCTCTTCTGTTCCGAGATCTTAGCCCCAGATAAACACAGGAGCCCTTTCAGCGGGGACCGCGAAGGGGGCCCGGAACTGCGGAGGGTCCCGAGCGCCCTCGACGGCAGCCGCCCATGTGGCTCCTGTCGCCGAAATCACATGTCTGCGCTGGAAATCAGTTCAGCCGAAACAGTGTCAGCGCGTTGAAACATATATGTTAGTTTCCAGTGCACTGTAAAATAATTCTTTTTTAAAAAATATTTTATTGACTTTTTACAGAGAGGAAGGGAGAGGGACAGAGAGTTAGAAACATGGATGAGAGAGAAACATCGACCAGCTGCCTCCTGCACACCCCACGCTGGGGATGTGCCCGCAACCAAGGTACATGCCCTTGACCGGAATCGAACCTGGGACCCTTCAGTCCACAGCCCGCCGCTCAGGGCAATTCTTAAAGGTATTTGTGTTCACAGGCAAGTAGGCCAGGTTTCAGCCGATGATAAAGTTAGTGTTACCAGTTGCCTTTTTAGCTTCCCTGCGGTGGGAGGGAACTCACAGAGCTTACCTTTGTTGAGAGTTGACATACTTACATCGCGCCTTGAGCCAAGTCATGGACGTCTTTACAAGTCTCCCTTTCTGCCCGCCGGCCTCAATAACCCGCTGTGACCCCGGAGGTCACGGTTGGGCTCGGGTCAGGGCACCATCGGGCGTGCAGGAGGCAGGGGATCAGTGATTCTCTCAATCTCTGCCTTCCTCTCCGAAATAAATAATTATCTTAAAAAATCAAGAAGTCTACCTTTCTGTCAAAAATATGCAAGACACGCCCTAGCTGGTTTGGCTCAGTGGAAAGAGCACCTACCCGCGGGCTGAAGGGTCCCGGTTCGATTCTGGTCCAGGGCAAGTGTTTGGGTTGCAGGCTCCATCCCCGGCCCTGGTTGGGGTGATGCGGAGGCAACCGATTGATGTGCCTGTCTCACATCTATGTTTCTCTCTCTCCCTGTCTCCCCTTCCCTTCCACTCTCTCTCAAAATCAATGGGAAAATAGCCTCCGGTGAGGATTAACAGCAACAAAAAATATATGCAAGACACTGGGGAGGAAGGACCACCTTTCTTCTTGAGTTGATGCTGACCCAAATGGTGTGTTGCTGAGTTGACACGTGTGGATTCGGATTCTCTATGTAAAACGCTATTGTAAAATAAGTTATTTGATCCAAGAACAAAGACTTGGAGGGGAATGTATACTGTGCCATCTAAACCGGAGTTGACAGGTTTGTGGCCAGAGTATCTCCGACGACAGCATTTTACAGTAAATCGGTATGAGTCCATTGCCCAGGACTTTTCTGGAACGTAGGATTTTCTAGTGACGTTCAAAGCTTTTGCCTCAAAAACTTGAATATCCTTAATCCTAATTACACAAAATCTACGTGTTGCCAAGTGTCTCAGGGGTTATGGTAAAATTCCCAGATACATAGTTTTGTTTTTTTGTTTGTTTTTTATAAGCCAGAGTTTATTTCTATTTAAAACAATGTGTACAGGGGTCCAAAGGCCCAAAGATATTTGGGTTTAATAGAAGTTATAGTCTAGTGCCTGCTGCCCATGCGTCCATTTCACAATATTTCTGCGCCCCTGAGTGTTTCCAAGGTTTGATAATTCTAAGGCAAATGGTGAATCTTCTGAGTTTTGGCCAGCTTCATAGAAAATGAACATTACAACAATAACAGCAAAAACAACTCCAGAAACAGCCATTATCATTGCAAGAGAAAAAGGTATATCACTCGATAAGAAAGCGATCACAGAAATTCCCAGTAGGAGAATGCTTAATCCAATATTTAAAAATGAGATATATTTTAAAAAATCCTGGGGAAACCATCCCTGCCATATTCTCAGCAACCAGCTCCTCTGGTCGGAAGCTTGAGAAAACGGGATCATGATGAGTCTTATCTGGTATTAAATGCAGTTCTTGGACAATGGAAACCAGCAAACACCCTTCAAGATGAAATCCAAATATATAGTTTTTAAAAATAGTGGCATAGTTACACTTTCAGGGAGCTCCATCAGGAGTTACTTAATTGAGCAGGTTAAGAATCACCGCAGTAGAGCCCAAATCGTGTCCTACAACGTTTTCATTCAAACTCTAAAAAAATATACTGTAGAAATAAGATGATAATCATTAACTCTAAAGTGGCCTTCATTTGGTTGTTCAAGACAGTCTGCTGTTTAACATGGCCATAGCTTGTAATTATTCTCCAAGTGAATTATCCAGCTGTATCTGCATTTGCTTTTTGAGTGTTTTGTTTTGCTAACCAAATGCAAAATTGATAGCTTAGTCTTCTCATTTTGTCCAAATATATGAAATGTGTTCGTTTTCTTCAGAAAATATTTTTGCTTTCCTAGCACAAAAGTTCCCTTTTTTTGCTTTCAGTTTGATATTAGTGTATCTCAGCTAAATGGCTTGCCTTATAGAATTTGAACCAAAAGAAAACTTGGAGTTAACTGAAACCAGTCTTATCAATCGACAAAACAAAAAACTGTCAAGGATGATGCTTCATCATCGCCTTGGAAAACATACACTGCATTTTAACTTGTGTTAAATATTAACTCTAATTTTGTTCTTAATTGAAGACCTTTCAACCAAGGCATTCAAGGGAATACTGCTTAGTAGTGATGATGTATTCTCTTGTTTTCAAAGGTGGGATATGAACCTCTTCCTCCAACAATTGGACGAAATATTTTTGGGCGGCAAGTATGTCAGCTTCCTGGTCTCTTTTGTTATGGTAAGTGTCTTTGATTTATTTGGAATTGGATGACACTGAGGATCATGACAGGCAGGAGTTACTGAAAAAAAATTGTTAGAAACCATGTTTCCTTGAAATTTCTGTGTAACCCTTTCCTTCAACTAGAATTTAAGTTTCTGACTTGTGTTCTTAGCTCAGCACATTGCGAGCATCGATGGGAAGCGTGGGTTGTTCACAGGATTAACTCCAAGACTGTGTTCAGGAGTTCTCGGGACTGTGGTCCATGGCAAAGTTTTACAGGTAAGAAGAAAATCAGATAATCTTCCTACAGCTTTAGGTTATCTTTTATGCAGTTTGTCCTACTTATCAATTCCAAATATATATTTATTTGCCGTGGCTTTTCTTCTTCTTTAAAAACATTTGCATGAAATACCCATTATTAATTCTATCTTGGGAAGCAAAGGGAATTTGTGTGAAATGAAGTAATTGATCTTTATTTACACAACCTTCTTCCTCTGAACCTGTTGTTCTTTTCCTCACCTGAGGATATTGTTCCATTCATTTTTAGAGAGAGTGGAAGGGACAGGGAGAGACAGAGAGAGAAACATTGATGTGAGAGAGACGCATCGATTGGTTGCCTCCCCCATGCACCCCAGCCACGGCTGAGGGTCGAGTCTGCATTCTGCCCTTGACCAGAATTGAACCTGTTGTTGGAGCAAAAATTAAATACACTTATTTGATCTCCTGTATAGCTGATTTTATTTCTTTGAAAAAGGAAAGCTGATTGAAACATAACTCATTCTGAAGTTATTCTCCTCTTATTTCTAGAGTAAACCCTAGTAAAATGCTTTCTGTTACAATTTAATTTTTTTAACAAGATCAACATAAAGGTCAGGATAATACTTGTTTGGGGGCCGGGGGGGACCTTGCGTTGGTTCTGGGGTAATGCAAATGATTTTTCTTGACCTGGACCGTGGCTATATGGATATTGCCTTTTAATTACTTATTACATTATACATTTGTATTTTGTGCACTGTTTCTTTATCTGTGTTACATTTGCATAAATTTGAAAATTTGTTTTAAAACCTCACTAAAGTATACAACAGCTGCAGGGTAGTGGTTACTTTTGGGAAGGGGGAAGAGGTAAGGGTGGAATTTAGCTACATCTGTGGTATTTTATTTATTTTATTTTATTTTTTAAATATATTTTATTCATTTTTTACAGAGAAGAAAGGAGAGGGATAGAGAGTGAGAAACATCGATCAGCTGCCTCCTGCATACTCCCCACTGGGGATGTGCCCGCAACCAAGGTACATGCCCTTGACCGGAATCGAACCTGGGACCCTTCAGTCCGCAGGCTGACGCTCTATCCACTGAGCCAAACTGGTTAGGGCTGTGGCATTTTATTTTAAGAAGGCAAGAGATCTTAAGCAAAAGGGGCAAAATGTTAACCTCTATTTAACCTTGGTGGTGGATATAAAGGTGAATTATTTTCTTAATTTTTCTGTATGTTTGAGATGTTTCATAATGTTTTCGAAAACATCAAAGTTACATTTATTTCTTTTTTAGTGATCCTTTGTTTTACCAGCTTCTTTTAACTTCAAATGCTAAAGCATATAATTTTAATTGTACTGGTTTCTCAGTTGCACCATTACAATGTAGGTCAAACAGCATTGCCCTTTGCTCTATTTATAAAGGTTGTTATGAATACAAATTTTATATCATTTAAAACAGTCTATGAGAAGGTTATTCAGCATTAGTATTAATTGAGAATGCAAAATTAATGTTTTTTTTCCTAGTGAATTATTCTGTCTCCTACTGGTACCAAGAGTGTGTTATACTCTGTGTTGTAACTCAAAATATATAGTACTGTATGCTAACCAAATCTGTATAATACTTTCAACCTATAATGTATCAGATGTGCTAAATTCCAAATATTTACTAATGGCTTATTTAAATAGTACTCAGTATAATCCTCCTTGTAATTTTTTAGGCTTTAACATTGCCCCGATTCTAATGTTTTATCATACGATCAGCAAATCATGATTTTGTTAAATCGTTGCATGAACTAATTGGCTTAGATTTTAAGTGCTTTTCAACCTTGATTTGAATTGGAGAGTTTTTTCAGTCAGTTTCTCACATGGAAACTGTTTCAACTTCCAGTTATTTTAATGTTCTTTATGTTATTCTTTTTTAAAATATATATATATTTTTTTATTAATTTCAGAGATGGGGTGGGGGAGAGAAAGAAACATCAGTGATGAGAGAAAATCATTGATCAGCTGCCTCCTGCATGCCCCACACTGGGGATTGAGCCCACAACTTGGGCATGTACCCTGACTGGGAATTGAACTGTGACCTCCTCATAGGTTGATGCTCAACTACTGAGCCATGCCAGCTGGGCTTTTAATGTTACTCCTGTTGTCGTGCCTGTGAGCTGAATTTAGAAGCCCAGTTCCAGGTAGTCTATGGGTCAGAATGATGGAGTATTGATGATTTTTTGGTGCATTGATTACTGTTTCTTTTCTAGTCACACCCTACTCTGGGCTCAGGGAAAGTATTGCTGTTACCTAAATGAGATTCATATGCACAAAGGCAATTGTCATGTAGTCAAAGAGGTTTAGGTATAGACTGAGACCAAAGTGAAATTACTGCTTGAAACCAAGTTCCGGAAAGTAGGACAAACTTGAGGTATCCAAATATGCATTGGAATATGTGTTTCACGTGTAGTTAAATTAAAATAACGGGATTGGTACTATATTTAGTATCAAAAAGAGCTTATGCAGTCAAGAAGACAGACCAATTCAGGGTTGATGCAACTGTTACACTTTATAAGAAAGAGTTCTACATATCTGAACAAGGCTTAAACTGAAATCTGTTTGGAATAATGTAGAAGTGACAGGTAGAAAATTTTATTAATGGAATAAAAAGCAAAGTCTAGAAATGAGTGAGAATTGTTAAACATGCCCGAAACTATTACAGTTAATTCTAGTCAAAGACCTCTAATTTGACCAAAAAACACTATTTTGTTTAATCTTGATCTTTGTTCTTTTGCCTCTGATCTTTAAAAACATAATTCTTTTTACAAGATAAAGTGTTGTCTATTTTTTTTAATCTGGTGTGACTAGGAGCTTACTTGTCTGAGTCTTTCAGTTTCACCTAGCCCATCTTTTATTTCTGAAATATCCCACAAATAATATTTCCTCTTTCAATATAACTGAGCTCCATCAGTATTCATGTTCTCTTCCCTGGTAGAAAAAAAGTCTCTCTTTGCTTGTTTTGGAAAGAGATACAAAAGACAACGTGAGGCGATTTCAGCTATTCAGACTTAGCACCAGTTCTCTGTTCTTTTGTACAGTGAAGAAAAGAGTCTTGCCCTAATTTGGTATTGGTCCTGCTTTTCTCTGTGAAAGACAGGAGGTTTTTTCCATGGCCTTAGTCCTAGGCTATGTTTTTAACCAATTTGTTTTCTGTTAAATGTATGTTTAGTAAATGATCTTAGATTTTTGTTTTTGTTTTCCTTTTTCTCCTTTTAGATGAGTTTTCTTGAGCATTTGCTTGTCCCTTTAGCTGACCAGTATGTTAAACTTAGCAACAAGATTGTCTTAGAGCTACTTACTTATAATTGACTAGTTAAAATTAGAAGTTAATGGGAGATTTGCAGCAAAAAAAAGGTTTTATTTTCTACCGATAGAGTTTTCATTTTATGTCCTCTCTCAGTGACACTGTGACAGCCCTTCTCATCCTTTCTTTTCTCTTCCTTTGCAGCATTACCAGGAGAGTGACAAGGTTGAGGTATGTTGGAGCTGATTTGTATGCATGGGCCCATTTCCCTTGCAAGTTATTCTTCTTTGGTCCTCTTTAGGAGAAGGGGCAAGCAGGCAGTCTCCCTTTCATCTCAGTGAATGTTGGCATAGAGGGTGACCTCCTATTTAACAGTTCTATTTAAAACCATCAAGCTATGTCTTTTATTTGATTTCCAGGAGTTAGGACCAGGAAATGTACCAAAAGAAGTTCCATCTTCCTTCGACCAAGTTATCAAGGAGGTAAGAGATGACTTATGTCCTATGCTATTTCCCTAAATAAGGGGATGTGCAGTGTGGTGGTTGTAGGATCAGGATCATCAGGCCTGTCTGTGCAGTGTCTATTCCAAATGAAATTAAACCTTCAATGTAATTTGGTGTGTGTGTGTGTGTGTGTGTGTGTGTGTGTATAAAATATTTAAAAAGAGAGAG